CAGAGATCCACCTGCCTCTGCCTCCCAGGTGCTGGGATTAAAAGCGTGCGCCACCATGCCCACCTTAAGGAGTGCATAAATGTTTTGCTATGTCAGCCAAGAACTAGAAACCAGATGTGTTGGCCCACAGCTGTAATTCCAGTCTGTAGAAGGCTCAGACTAGAGGAATAAAAGTTTTGTAGGCCAGCCTATGCTACATTGTTAGACACTGCCTCAGAATAAATGAATAAATAAATACGGTAAAGGCCAGGCATGGACGGTACATACCTTTAATCCCAGCACTCGAAAGGCAGAGACAGGCAGATCCCTGTGAGCTAGAGGCCAGCCTGGTCTACAGAGTGAGTTCCAGGGCAGCTAAGGCTACACAGAGAAACCCTGTCTCTTAAACAAACAAACAAATAAATAAGACGAAGGATAAATCAACAGAAGAGCATTCAGCTAGCTCAAGAACTCTGTGTGAGATCCTGGATCCAGCACCTAGTACCACAAGAATAAAATTGTAGAAAGTATTTCACATGTTTTGTTTGCTTAGTAGAAACAGTCTTCCTAAGGAGCTTGGCTTAGCCTGGAGGTAGAGTTCCCTTTGCCTCAGCTTCCGAGGTGGAGGAATCGAGGCAGGACCTACCAAGATCTGCCCAATACCCTCATTTTACGAAGGAAAGTGAAGCTTGGAAGCTGGTTTTTGCAAATAGTTCTTGGCTGGAACTATTTTTGCTGCTTTTAGTTTATGATTCCTGGCTAGAAGGGGGTGAAGGTAACCAGAGGGAGGAAATGGGAGACAGAAAGCAGGGGGCCAGGGCACTAGGAGAGGCTACCAACAGAGCCCTAGAGACCCGTGTATTGGAGATGGGGACTAGGGAAGTGGAGCAGCAGGTGCGGCCCTGTGGTGACCTCGTTACAGGAACCATCTGCTGTAGTGCCAACACTCTTGCAAGATAGCTGGGGGTGGGCATGGGTGAGTAGCTCGGTGGCGTTACAAGGGCTTTTCCTTGGAAGCTGCATCTAGGAGGACCAATCCACCCGCACCCAGGCCAAATTTTCTGGAGCCCCGTGGCCACTTTCTGTGACTCCGGGAGGCTTCCTCCAGCAGGGGAAAGATAGAGAAAGCAGGGCTCAGGGCTTAGCCTGGGCTCAGCCAGCTGACACCTGTTACCCTTTAGAGAAACTGTCAGCCACAGAAGTGAAGCTGTCAGAAACTGTCCCCACCCCGACCCCATTCCCTTTAAAGAAAAGACTCCATCTTAGGGTGGAGCTCAGAAGGGAAATCTAGGCCCTTTGTTCTTTTCTCTTTGCAGAGCGGTAACAGCTGGGCCTCAAACTTGAACCCCAACACCTTGGCTTGTTTGGGGATGTAGGGTAGAAAATTCTCTGGGTAGGATTTGACCCATGTAGCCCCGTTCAGACGTGGGAAGAGAAATGCAGCCAAGAGTTTGACAGTCCACAGGATAACCTCCTACCTGACAGGTTTGCCCTTAGTTAGCCTTCAGCACTTCTGAGTAGCTGACAGTGGAGGAGACTGCTAGGTTCCTGAGAAGACCAGGGACGGTCCATAATCAGAGATGCCCCTCCCCTCTCCTGGGCGATCTGTCATTCAAGTACTGCTACCTCAGGACAGCCAGGCTACGAGTGGCCCCAGCAAACTCACTTCCCTCGGTTCACATCCTTATCTTTCCCCTTCCTATACCATATCACCATCGGCCTGTGTGATCTACAGACAAGGGCAGAAGTGATAGCCTGTCACTTTCCGGATCCCATGATGAGACAAGATCGCTTCTGTCTTACCCATCCTGTCCACTGAGGAGCCAGCTGCCGTGGCGCTAAAGGGGAAGAACTGAGGCCACTGGGCCTTGGCCATGCCTGAGTGAGCTTTTTAGGAGGCAGGTCCCTCAGCCCAGGCCAAGCTTCCCCTTGACCATAGCTTTGGCCACACTTTGGAGCAGCCACTGACAGACCCTAAACCGGAATCAATCAGCTAGCCTGACTTCTGGCTGTGAGAGAATTGCTAAATTTCAGGGTGATTTTTTTTTTTTAATGGAGCAATAGATAGCTGTAATATACATGCCTTGCTTCTGAAATGACTCCCACTCACCCCACCCACCCTCCCCTGAAAGCTCCCTGAGCAACTTGCCACTTCACAATCCCTTCTCCTTCAGGCTCCCAGCCCAGAGCGCTGGTTTCAGATAAACTGGTAGATAAGCTGAAGAGGAAGAGCTCGATGGTAGAACGGGTGCTACAAAAGTGAGATCCTCAGTTCCAACTCTAATACTCCAACGCCGTTTAAAAAAAACAACAAAAAACACATGCACACACAACGAAACAAATGAACAACCACTTTGGGACACAGAGCGAATTAATCCAACTCTCAGAGACTTTACGAAGACACGGAAAGGGCTGGAAGTTATCCTGGCAAGAGGGTGGGGCTTTGTTAGGAAGGGGCTGTGAGCGGGAGCGCCACCCTTAAGAAAGACCCCACAGCGCAGCCTTGTACACAAGCCCGAAGCCCCCTCTCCCTTCTGTCCTCTGTGTGAGACAGAGGAGCGAGGTGGTCCTTGTCTGCCTCTATTCCCTTCGTGAAAGTACATGGGGAAGCCCCTGCCTGAGCCCCAGTGAACCTATGATGATTCTCACAAACCCAAAGGGCATGGGTTATTATCTAGTACAAAGGAAAAATGCCACCCACAGAACTTTCCAGGAAACCCCTGCCCTATGAAAACATGGTGGCTTCCACTGAGGCCATGGAAAGAAGGGCTGTGGCAGGGCTGCTGAGAAACCCCTCCTGCAGCTCTGTCCCACACAGCAGAACACACTGGGCCTCAGTCCATGGCTCCTTCAAGTCTGGGGTGGGACCTGAGACCTCCAGGGCAGCGCCTGGACCTCTGCCTCAGACAACACTATTTTGGGGGGGGTCTTTAGCTCCGCTCTGCACTGGAGAGCAGATTACTGAACATGAGAGAAAGGGAGCCTTCAGGAATCTCACGGTGGTTTACTCGTTGCTGTGCCAAACACCCCATCAGGTGCCTTTGTGAGCCTCAGACAGGAGGCTGTCTCTATGGTGACACAAGGGCCGGACACATGGGGACAGAAGTGATACTGTTACTTTGTGCTGAGTTATGGGGAATCAGGGAGCCCCTGAAGCCTTGAATAACGAGCCATTTAAGGCAATCCGAGCTTCCGAGAGGTTCAGGGTCACGGCTGGGATGCTTGTGTCTTCACAGGTGGAAACACGGTGGCATGGAAGGGAGGACCAAGGTGCAGCGCGTTGTAAAGTCAAGTCCTTAAAAGGTCTTCGGAAGTCTCCTGACTTGGATATGGGCACTGGGGAGCTGACTCCAAGCCCTCGAGCTTGCCATGCGTTCATGTGTTTACTGAGCCACTTCCCCGGCCCCTATCATTGTCTTGTTTATTATTGGTTTGTTAATTCTGTTATTTTTGTGTATATGCACGGTGCCCTTATGGGGTTGGTGCTGCAGCGTGCAGGTGGGGCTCAGAGAACAACTTTGTGGAACTGGTTGTTTCTTTCATCTTTACATGGGGTTCCTGGCATTGGTGAATCAGGTCACCAAGCTTGTGTGACAATTACTCCCTTACCCTCTGCCCCATCTCACTGGCCTATTAATAAAAATAGTGTTTGTTTGCTGTCTGGGTCTCTCTGTGTAGCCCTGGCTGTCCTAGAACTATGTAGACCAGCCTGGCCTCAAACTTCCAGCTATCTCCCTGCCTCGACCTCCAGAGTGTTGGGAGCTCTAACGGTGTGTCCCACTACACGGGGATTCTGTTGATTTATTCTTGAGTCAAGACCTGACGTAGCCTAGGCTGGCTCAAATCTACCAAGTAGGTGACTTTTTCACATGCTGGGATTACAGGCAGGCACCTTCATATCTGGTTTTTACTTTTAAAAGATGGGGGTCTCACCATGTTACCCATGTCTGTCCAACACTCCTGGACCCCAAAAGCCTCCTTCCTCAGCCTCCCCCCAACCCCACGTAGCTGAGACTTCAACTGCACGCCTCTGTACCTGGCCATTGTCCCACTTAACACCTCAGAAAACAAAGGTTCAAAGAGATTTGCAACCACCTCGTCCGCAGTATTGGGGTGAGAATCTGGGACGTGTGACTCGGCCAGCTGCAGCCACGCCCAGACGGCTTGTGGGCTGCTTCCCTCCCTGCCTGAGGTCTTTGTTGACAGCCCTTCCCTTTGTCATACTTGGATTATAACCTTGCCAGGACCAGGGCTGTAGGTCCTGAAGCATGTATTATTCAGTCCCTCTTCTGCAGGCTACATAAGACACGTGACAGATGCCGGGAGCACCCTCGACGCTGCACCCCCAGAGTGCCAGCATCCCTGCTCCACCTTGCCTGCTGCAGCAGTCGGTCCAGTGACCTCCTCTGGGGGGTGTGTGTGACAAACAGCGACCACTAGGTGGCAGTGTGCTGTCATGCCTGGGACCAGACAAGTCACCCAGGATGACAAACATGGGGGATGGGGCAGAGGCAGCAACGTCAGCTGGCTATCCAGAAAGATTAGGAGGCTCCCATCTCCTGGATGACCTCACAGGGTCGGCTCAAGTGCACGTGTGCGTGCGAGCGAGTGGAGGGGGGGGGAGTGCTGCGAAGGGGGAGGCGATGGCGACGTGTGTGTGTGTGTGTGTGTGTGTGTGTGTGTGTGTGTGTGTGTGTGCCTGCCTACCTGTGCCTTCCTTCCTGTAGCCAGGGGTCTAAGCTCAGTTGCTGAAGGAGCCAGCACAGTGTGGGTAGAAAACGGGGAAAGGGCTTTGGAGGTCGGAAGTGAGGGCTCGTTGGAGCTTTAGAGGGGAAAAATGGGTTACTCGGGAGAAAGGGAGCAACATAGAGAGAGAAACAAAGAGGCAAGCAATAGACAAGGGAATGAGGAGAAAGATTGGCTGGAGAAAGTAGGTTGGGAGGCTAGAGCGGGAGAAGAGAGCCCCCAGTGGCAGGGAGAGACAGGAACCTTTTCAGGACAAGAAAGAGTCAGACTCCAGCTTGCTGCTGACAGGGAGTTTATTCAGAAGGAGCCGCTGAGACCTGCGTGCTGCCTCAGCTCCGGGTCAGAGCTGCCTGGGCTCTGGCTCCTGTTCCAGTTCGGGCTTTGGCTCTGGCTTCTGTTCCATCTCTATCTCCAGTTCTTGCTCCAGCTCCTCTCTCTTACTCTGAGCAGGAGGTGGGCGAATCCCAAGCTCTAAGGCAGAGAATCTTCTCCATTGCCACTGTGGGGAAAGGACAATGGAGGAGGAAGGAGGAATGAACAAAACAAATCCCAGAGTTCCAGCCTTCCCCATCTGGACCAGGGTCTTCTTTCAGCCACTTTCAGCCAACTATAAGGTGTTCCCAGCACAGAGGCTCAGGGAGCATATTCGGAATCCATCATGGTTATCCTTCTCAAGGGTGGAGTCCCACACAGCACTCTGAGGTCTGAGGACAGGCAGAGCTGTGTCCTGGCTTACCTGTCTTCTCCATAGGTGAAAGCCAAAGGCCCCAGTCACCAAAAGGAACAATAAGAAGGCACCAAGGATCAGGAGGAGAAAGAGATGGCCTCCTTTAAGGTCACCTGAGGTTCTCCTCGCACTCCGGGCACCTATGAAGAAAGCACTGGATTAGACCCAGGGGTGGGAGATGAAAAGGGACACCTCGCTTCACCCTCGTCCTTTATAGATACAACGAGGACAGAGAGTTTAAGAGACTTGTCCGGGATCATTCAGCTAATTGATGACAGAAATAGGTCAGGCCTAAAGAGCTTGAAGTCAGGAAGTCTGAGTGGGAAGGGGAAGACGTGGGGGTGGAGGGCTTGGAAGGTGATCAAGGTGACTGTCTCAGAGTTGGGGCCATGGCGTTTTGGAACCTCGGACCTGAGCTAGACTCTGTGATGTACGTCGCTGCTCCAAGAAGCTTCTGCCCCTCATACAACTGGCATTGCCAAGGCTCAGAAAGGAGCCTGGTCTCCTGCATCTCCAGCTGAGGGCCTGGGGAACTCCTGGACTGGTTGTTCAGGGGCCACCACACAAACCGTTCTCGTCCGGATGTTGGGGTTACTTCACATAACAGCTTCCCCAGGGAGCCAGGTAGCCCGAAGGACTTAGGAGTCACTGAAAAATTAGAGGGAAGATATTTCATGGGGGTCTTGACCCCTTAGTTATTGTCAAAGTTGCAACCCGCCCACGTCTCTGTCATCCCACTCTCAACAGAGATCAGACTGGGCAAACCTCGGGGGCAGACATCCTAGGTCATGACTAAATTTATCTGTGCTTTGGTTTTGTGTTTTTGAGACAGGGTCTCACGTAGTTCAAGCTGGCCTTGACCTCACTATGTAGCCAATGATAGCCTTGAACTCCTGATTCTCCTGCCTCCATCTCATAAGTACTGAGATGACAGGGGCACCCCACCTGGCCACAGTAATCTTAAAACAGTGCTCTGGTTTGATCGTTTCCCAACCCTTCAAGACACTATTCAAACTCAAAGTGGTACTGATAGCCACATGAGAAATACTATTCATGCTGGGTATGTACCTCAGTCCTAGAATGCGTGAGTCCGTGGGTTCAATTCCCAGCACCACGTAAACCGATACAAGAAAATCAGAAAGCACAGATCCACTACACATTGAATTCAAGGTCAGCTTGAGCTGCATAAGACCTTGTTTTACAAACATAACAAAAGGCTGGAGAGATGGCTACATGGTTAAGAGTATTTGCTGTTCTTCCAAAGGACCCAGGTTCGATTCCCATCACCCACAGGGTAGCTCACAATCTTGCCCAGATCCGGGAGACCAATGCCCTCTTCTGTTTCTGTGGGTACTAGACACAGATGTGCAAGCAGACAGAACGCCCATGTACATATAATAAAGTACTTTGTTCTGGGCAGGGTTGTTCTGTGCAGTCGTGGCTGCCCTGGGACTCACTCTGTAGACTAGGACTGGCCTCGAACTCACTGCCACCGCAACCTCTGCCACCACCAGGTTTATAAAATACATTTTTAAATAAAACAAACGGAAGAAGTAAGCTGGGCATGCATGTAATCCCAGCACTCGGGGAGGCAGAGGCAGGCAGATCTCTGGGAGTTTGAGGCCAGCCCAGTCCACAAAGCGAGTCCAGGACAACCAAGGCTTCACAGAGAAACCCTGTCTTGAAAAGGGGGGTGGGGTGCGAGGGAGGAGGCTCAGTGTTTACTAAGTTATCAGGGTTTACTGCTAACTGAGAGAACCCATGCTTAGTTCACAGCACCCACACCTGTCGGCTCCAGGGGATCTAACATGCTCTTCTCAGATCTCCTTGGATACCCTGTGTGTACATACTCCCACAGAAACACACACACACACACACACACACACACACACACACACACATTCATTTCATAACTGCTCAGACTCCCAATGGTCAGTCAGGTGAATTAGCACCCAGTACTCCTGAGAACAACCCTGCCTCCATCACTTGGCTCACACCAGTGCCCCCCACCTTTGTGGTACCTCTGGGTGAGCTTTATGGCCCTTCCTTGAATGTTTACAGAGCAAGTAACCAGCTGATTGAGCCCCAGGCAGAACACGCACAAAGCTTACTAGAGATAGAGTGATAGAAGCAGAAAAATGGCGAAGGGCCTTGACCCTGCTGAGCACAGCCTATGGGGGACTTAATGACACATCCAAATTTCAAATTTAGACCCTGAGGCTTACATTTCCCAATGGTGCAACCTTCAGAACATTCCTTCTTTGTAAAACAGGAGTGGTAATATTTCTCCCACTAAGTAGCTGAACATAGGGTTGGCTGTTGTTTTGTTTGTTTTTGTTGTTGTTGTTGAGACAGGGTTTCTCTCTGTTGTCCTGGCTGTCCTGGAACTGGTCCTTAGACTAGGCTGGCCTCAAACTCAAGTGCCTCTGTGCCTTCCAAGTGCTGGGATTAAAGGCGAGTGTTTGCCTCGACCAGCCCAACAATTGACCTTTTAGAAGATGCTGGAGGGCTGCTGATTTAGCCCAGATGATCTTTACCAGGCAGAAGCCCTGGCTTCAATTCCTAGTCATAAACTGGGGGTTGTGGCTGTCTGTCTATAATCCTAGCACTTGGGAGGTGGAGGCAGGAAAATTAGAAATTCAAAACCATCCTCCACTGTATAGTGAGTTTAGGCCCACCTGGCACACATCAGACCTTGTGTCAAAAGAGAAGGAGGTGAAGAAGGAGGAAGAAGAGGGGGACATTGGAGGCCAGGCACGGTGGTTCACACTTGTAATCCCAGTACCTGGAGGTACAGACAGAGAGATCACTGGTTCAGGAGTTCAAGGCCAACTCCAAAGCCTCAGATATTTAGCATATAAGACCCTGGCCATTAACACTGGGCAGAAGAACGGGTGGGCTTTGGTGACTGATTGAATATGGCAAAGAAGGGTTTAGGATGAGTGGGATCCCAATGGACTTGCTAATAGACTGAGTCAGCAAAAGGACTGACATGAAAAATGAACTCACTGTGTACTCTGGGGCTAGCCTGGAATTCCTGATCCTCCTGCAGAGTGCTGGGATTTCAGCAGCGTCCCACCACACCTGGCTCCGATATACAATACAAAGCACCTGTGTGGTGCTACTTGTGTCTTAGTGGCCACGGGAAAACACTGAGGTCACTAACCTGTCTTGGCTGTAGCTGCCAATCAACGAACACATACTTTCTGATTTTGGGTTTTTGTTTGTTTGTTTTGTTTTGGGGGTTGCCTGTTTTTGTTCTATACTGCCTTGGAAACCCTCACTCAGTAAATATTTGCTGGCAAAGGACTGATTTATCAACTCCTTCCAAATCCAGGTCAACTCCCACAACTTTAACGGAGCCCTAGACCAAAAGCAAACAAGGATTTGAGAATATGTGCCTCCTTTTAACTATTCAAAAAAAATTTTTTTTTCAATTTTTTTTTATTACCTCTGTTTCTAGCTTCTCACCCATCCCACCAATTCAGCATAGGGGAGTCCCTTAGGCAAGGGTGGAACTTTTATTTTGTGACTCAAGTGGAGATTTTCAGTTTCAGTTTTGTTTTTTGTTTTGTTTTATCATGGGAGTTAAAAAAAAAAAAAAAAAAGCTCATAGTTTGACAGGCCCGGTAGACCGGTGTCTGTAAGTCCTCAGCACTTGGGGAGTGGAGGCAGAAGGCTCAGGAGCTGAGGTGATCCTAAGCTACATGAGAAAAGGTACAAGTCTGGACATCTGAGTTCAATCCCTAGAACCCAGAGCAAGGCTGGGGGAAGAGAACTGAGTCCAGAGAGTTGTCCCGTGAGCTTTACACATGTGCACTCATTGTATGCGTGCACGTGCGCGCACACACACACACACACACAAACACACAAACACACTCATAAATAAAAATTAAAAAGAAAAGAAGCTACAGCTTGAACAGGATGGCCACGTATGATGGAGTACCGTCTTTGGCCAGCCAACACTCCCGCCCTGTTGTTTCTCCCCGGAAATGGAAGCTGTTCCTTTCCCACCTGTGGCTGACCTGTGATGACTGCCAGAGTGACCTCGGCCCTGAGCTGCTGCCCCTGCGCGAGGACGCTGCAGGCGTAGGTCCCAGCCTGAGCCAGTCCCACGGCCTCAAGCTGAAGGGTGAGATTGCTGCTCTTTCCAGCCACCAGGATCTCAGGGCCTCCCCAGGGAGGAGTCCACTTGGCAGTAAGCAAAGAAGAGTCCTCCACACGGGGGGACAGGCGACAAGGCAGCTCCACCCGAGAGCCGGCAGCGGCGTACACTGTCAGAGGGGCTGAGGAAAAGAAAGCCAAGTCAACGCCGAGGGGTCAGGGTGCGGTGGGCTAGAGGGCGGGAACTTCAAGGAAGGAAGGCAGGAGGGTGAAGGAGGGATTTGGCTGTAACACACAGAGAAACCGAACGAAGCAGACAAACTAGGGAAACTGGAAAACGCCTACTGGGCTGAGCCAGTGGGAGAAAGAAGGCTATCAGAAGGCCGGGCAGCCAAGGGACAATGAGAGACAGCAGCTAAAAGACTCTCAGAGAGGAAAGGGTTTGGACACCGAGGCAGAGCAATCCGAGGTGGCACCAAGGCTGAGAACCAGTTTTGGGGGCCCGTGAGTCAGAGGAGGTGTTGGGGCTGGATGGAGTTGTGGTCAAGGGTAAAGACAGCTCAGAAGTGTTACCCAGAACCTGCAGGCTGTACGTAATGGAGACATTGAAGCCGTCCTTGTAGGTGAGAAGGCAGCCCCAGGTCCCCGAGTCCGCGGGGCTGACTTGAGGCAGTAAGAGGAAACTTTCAGCTAAGTGGTGACGGGGAGACTTGTGGACGGCGACTCGGCTCTGGCCCCGGAACCAGTGCACAGAGACTGGGCGGTCAGGGCGGCTAAAGGAGCAGTTCAAAATGACCCAGTCAGACGGCCTGAGGGGTCCTGGGGGACTGGCAATCACTGTGCAAAAGTAACAAAACAAAACAAAAAAAGCAGATCAGTCCACTAGATGGAAACACTCGGTGCAGCCGGCCAAACCAGGCTGAACACTCATGGAAACAGAGATGCTGATTTCAGATGTCCCTGACTCCCAACTCAGTGCTTGAAACCCGGGGGCGCTTAATGTGGATTTCCTAGAGACCTGGGGCTCCTGCTTCTACTTTACTTAACTTGGCCTTTTCTTCTTTGGGCAGACCTTGCCTGAGGATGAGCTGCAGAGGTCTCAAATGAATCACTCTAGCCCCCCCCCCCCCCAAAAAAAGAAGAGGTGCTTCCCCACCTCTACCTCCACCAGGGAGGGCCCTCCCGCTGGAGGTGGGGGAAAGAAAGCTGGGGGGATGGGTGTGACACGATTTCTCTCCATAGCCCCCTCACTCCCCCCACCCCCACCCCGTCTTGAGGCATGCATTTCAGGGGGACACTTTCCACTCTGCCATCACTCCTGGGGGTCCTCGGGCAGGGTCTAAAGTACAACCTTTGCCACGGCTGTTCCTGCCTCGGAGCCGCAAGGCTCTGCATCCCAGCCCCTCTCCCTTTGTCCCGGCCCCACCTACTCGAGGCCTGGCCCACGCGCAGGCGGAGACTGCAGGAGAGGGTGCGGTCCGGGAGGCGCACGGTGGCGTGGTACTCGCCAGCATCGGCTCGCTGGGCCGGGCGCAACCACAGCGAGAAGTCCCCGCGCTGGAGGCCGCGCTCATCCAGCTGCACGCGGGGAGGCAGGGGCAGCCTCCCGCTGCGCAGGCCTCCTGGAGCCACGCTCAGGACCGTGTAGCGACGGGGTGCTGGGCTCCCGGGCGAAGGGACCCCCTCGCGAAGGTCAAGGTCAGGGGTGGGAGCCTGTTGACCACTGGTTGGGGAGAGAGAATGGGACTGAGAAATTCCGGGGCAATTTGAAAAGGCCGTGCGGGACACGCTCTCCAAGCACACTCTGAGGATAAAACAACCCGCCTAAGAGACCGCTTGATCTTCGGAAGCAGCCTCTCCCCCTACCCCCATCACCCCCTCCATAACTATCCCTGTTCCCACGTCTGTAGGGTTTCAGCACCACCTGCGACTGGATGCAGGTGTGTGGAGAGCAGGTTGCAGAGAAATCACAGGAAGGCTGTGTGAGGGTGGAGGAGGCTGAGCCCCTAGTTTCAGAGGTACTCACAGAAAGGACAAAACCGGCTCGGGTGGGATTTTACGAGGATGCCATTAGCACCAGATTGGGAGGCTCTGTCGCCCAACTTTGGAGTTCATACCTGTCTGGTTGATGTTGCCAAGTGACCCCTCCTCTTCGCAGAAGGCTGGGATCCCGGTGGGGGAATTTGGGGCTGCAGGGAAGATGGACAGGAGCTCCCTCTTGGGCCCACACCACAGAGACCTTGTTCCCAGGCCCTGAGGCCGCGACTAGTGGAGCAAAAGAGAGGCCAAGGGCCATGAGCCAAGAGATTTGAGAATAGAGAAGGACCTTAGGACCTTGGCATTCCCAAGAGAGAAACATCATTCCTCCCTGTCGAGGAGAAACTGAGGTAGCTTTGGGGTTGGAAGGAATGCCCTAAAAAAAAGGTATTCGAAGATTACCACTGAGCTAAAGAGACAGGCCACTGAAGTCCCTGCTGGTTTTTCCAGAACTTCCCATCTTACCTGGAGCTTCCCAAAGCAGTCCCAGAAGCAACAGGCCCAGGAGCAGAGCCTTCCTCATCTCCTCTAAGGCCTGGGCCTCCCCAGCCCTCAAGGGAGGTCAGAAAGGGGTCCTGGGAGGAAAATAAAAAGATATCTACAAAGGAGGGAGGTGAGGCAGAGGAAGAGAAGGTAGGGTAAAGAGGACCCTACGAGAGGGTCTGGAGAGAGAGCAGAGGGGAATTGTTAGAGGGCAGGGCTGCGGCTGGAGAGCAGAGCTGAGGCAAGTGAACGGGATGCTTATCTGCTCCCCCGGGGCCCTTCTGCTTTCCTTCCCCACTTCCCCTCCCCACTGCCCGCCCCCCAGCCCAGGGCTTGGGGTTTCGCTTCACAGTGGAAAGTGTGAGGGGGCTGATTCCCAGCAGCAGAGCCCTCCATCTCTGTGGTGGCACTCCCCTTGTTTACTTCCTCAGGCTCGGGTCTCCCCTCCGCCCCCTCTTCACCTAGGTTCTCTACCAAGCATTTCTGCCTAGAACTACAGCTGTAACTTTTAAGCTGCCTCACCGGCCGGCCCCACATCCAGTTTCCTCTTGACAGGCTCTTTTCCTATTAACTCGCCAAGAACGTCACCGCCCCTGCAGACTTGCCTCCCTAGCTGCTCAGCATCTCTTGGACAGGTACACAAGAAGTGTCACCATAGTACAAGTAACCAGGTCTGGGTAAGGGCTGGGTGGAAAAGCATAGCAGCTACATGGGATGAGCCTTCATTCTTTGCTACATATAATATTGTACATTTTCCACAAAGCAACTTGTGAAACCTGATAGCCACTCCTTTTGTACAGGAAACCAAGGGGGTCATTAAATAACTTGCCAAGGTTAGGAAGCATGAAGGCAAAGACTGTCTGGTCCTTAGCCCTGTTTGCCTTGTGGGGTGGCTTTCCATCTTCCTGGGAAGAGGAGGACGGTGGGATACTTGTTTTAAATATCTTTATTTGTGCGTCAGTGTGCATGAATGCCACCTGTATGTGAATGCCCAGAGGCCTGAGGAGAGTGTCACACTATTCAGATCTGGAGTTCCAGGTGGTTTGTGAGCTGCCCGATCTGGATGCTGGAACCCTAACTCAGGTCTCCTGGCAGAGCAGCAAACACTCATGACTGAAGAACAATGGGATACCTTCCCATCTTCAAAGTCCCCCCCCCACCTAAAGATCCTGTACAAAAAAATGAAGGCAAAGATCTATGGAGATGGAATAATGCAGAAATCTTGTAGCCGAAAAGACTCCAGAAGAGCTAACGTTTGGAAGGTGGGAGGGGGATGAATTGAGTTTCAGGCTTGCTTGGGTTCCCCTGGGAAACTGGGGTTTCATCTCCAGAAACTCAAAACAGGACATATGTCAGCTCCCAGGGGAAGATGAGTTCAGGGTCACCCCGGGGCCTCAAGGTATACCCTACGTCAACAAAAACAAAACAAAAACTTGTAAGGCAGAGAGAGGCAGGCAGTTCTCTGTGAATTCCAGCCCAGCCCAGCCACGGCTGCATAGTGAGATGGGCTGTAGGGAGGGCATCTTAGAATGCAAACTGAGGCAGAAGGGCTCTGGAGGAATCCAGCAGCTCTCTTGCCCAGCTCAGAAAATGAAAGGACAGGTGACAAGCCTGACAACTGAGTCCTTCCCTGTTCCACTTGAGGACCCTTCCTTCCACGTATCAAAACATGTCCATGCTTGCTAGTTCCCTTTCCAAACCCTAGGTTAAGACCTAGGCCTACCACCCTCTTCCACCTTGGGGGTGGGACTTCCTGTTTCTGCCTGGTTCAGCACAACAGATCTGGTAGCTTTCCACTGGGCTCAGCAGTGTCTAGATCTTATGTGGGTTAACATGATACTGTGCCTTGCTGAGAAGCATCCCCAGAAACCCAAAACAGGACATATGTCAGCTTCCAGGGGAAGACACTGGGCTCCCAGTCCACACCTGAAGGACTGGTTGTGTCTTCTACGATGTAGGTATGAGGTCAGCAGGCCCCTCTCCACCCTTTCATGCACTGACAGGACTCTGGGAAAGCAGGACACAGGTTAAAAACAGAAGCGCGACCATTTCTTTATTAAATTATACAAAAAGGGGAGGGGGCAGCTTCGGGGCTTGGCCCCAACCCCAGCCCCACCCCGGCCTGGCGCTGTCTGAGAGGAAGGAATCTGAGGGAGACCCAGGGGTCAGGCAGGAGAGAGAAGGGCAGGCTGAGAGACTGGGGGCGCAGAGAGTGAGGAGAGGCTTCGCAAGGACTGGAACAGATGGGATGGTGTGGGAAGGCAGGGAAAAACAAGGAATGCAAGGGCAAGTGAGGGCCGGCTGGGGAGCTCAGATGAGGCGGGTCAGGAGCTGGACCGACGGCAGTGAGGGTGGAGGAGCAGTGTCTGGAGAGATGGAAAAGAGAGGCTGGGTGGAAGGACAAGGGTCACAGCTCTGGGGCAGGGCCAGAGCAGGGAGCCAGGAGAAGGCGGGCTGGACTTGTGTGTTCCTGCCCTGCCTCCAGGACCTGAGGGGCCTCCCATCCCCAAGCCCACTGACAGGGGCTCATGCCGAAGCCCCATTTTCTGTCTTCTGCCTCTTGGGATCAGCTTCATCCTGTGGAGAGGATAAGAGCTGAGGTAGTCATACAAAGGAGACCTCCCCCTCTTCCCGCTGGCCCTACTCCAGCCCCTGCCTATGCCACCACAACGACCTGGGTCCAAATCCAAAGGGCACCCAGCCCCTGCTATAGTCCCAACAGCCTCTCAGGCTCCCAAACCAGCTCGAACCTCCTCTTCAGCAGTTCTCTTCCGCACGGGGCCTTCATCCTCCTCCTCCTCTTCTTCCTCATCTGAGGAGCCAGAAGTGAGTCATTGGGGGAAGGCTGGGAGGGCCCAGGTACAGACCCACCCCAATCCTGGCTTCCAGTCTTCAACTGCCCCCTGACTCTGCTCCTTTGAGCCTCAACTTTTTCCAGCCCATCTTTCCCTGCCCATCCCTACCTTCTTCATCCCCTTCATCATCGTCCTCTCCGTCCTCAGCAGTTTCTTCTTCCTCCTCCTCAGCTCCATTCTCCTCCTCCTGTGGGGACCAAGACATGGAGTGATGTCAAGCTGTCTGTGCTGTCCACTCACTGGGTGATGAAAGGGCACAGGAGCCTCAGGGTAGGGAAGGAATGAGGAGGGGTCAAGAGGCAGGCAGGACCCCAACACACCCAGGAAGGTGAGGGTGGGGAGGAAGGATGTTTGGGCAAAGTGTGATCATCTTCCTCCTGCTACCGCACACCTACCTCCACTACTTCTTTCTTTCGTTCTTTCCGGCCGGCCTTCTCCTCCACTTTCTCCTTCTTTTCCTTCAGGTCCTGCAAGGCAGAAGGTCACCTTTCTCTCAGCACGAATGGCATACAGGCCCCAAGTCCCTCCCAGCCTTGTCTCCCCAACTCTGCAGCCAGGTCAAAGGTATTAAGTGAAGGTAGTTAAGATTAAGACACAACAGAAGCTCATGGGTCCTCAGAGTTGGGCCTAATTGGCTGACAGCAGAGACTTTTGTTCCCAAGACCCCAGAGAAGAGTGGGAAAGTGATAAGAAAAGGGGGTGAGCGTCCAGAGGACCTGAGGCCCCCACCCCATCAAGTTCTCCCAAACCTCCCGGGGCTTAAGAGTTCAGCTCCACAAAGCAAATCCCCCATCTGCCGGCAGCCTGGATGCCCCACCCCCTTCACCCTCTCTGCCTGCCCCGGATCTGCCTTTTGTCTACCTCAGGGGCCTTTGCCTAAGTACTCTCTCTCCCGGGCATCCCTCCCAGCTTCCCCTTCAGCTTCTGAGGCCTTTGTTTCCCTGGCTGTCTCTCCCTAATCCTCCTGTTCCTACTTGGCCAAAGGCGGGGATATGGAGCTGGCCCTAGCATTCGGCCACATGGGCTTCTATCCCCAACTCCAAACAGTTTTCAGGGCTCTCTGCTCTTCACCTTCACCCAGAGGAAGGAGAAAGCGCAACAAATAAGAGTGTGTGCCTGGATGGGAAGGTGGGAGTTGCCTGTCCAGAGCCCCTCCCACCAGGCTTCCACTAAGACCCAGCAGGTGCTTGAAGTGCTATTCTGAAGGGGGTTAAGACCCTCCGGACATACCGCCTTCCTACCCCCTGCAAGGTCCACTTCTCTCCTCTCACATCCTCTGATGCTACCTAATGTCAGTATGCAACTCTGTGTACATGATCCCAAGTGGGTCGGGAGTTTTCACAAGTAGATCACCCCGAAAGGACGTGTGCTTTCTAGAACAAGGCTGGGGTGTAAAGGAGGGACTTGGTGCCAAACAACTGGCCTGGGGACACTTGGCGCCCTTCTTTAGGAGAGCAAAGCACAGGACACTTGGCCCTCTCACTCCAGGAAGCTTTCTGCATTCCTGACTTGTCACCTCCGCAACATGGTGGGTCTGGCACTTGCACTACCAGGTGGGCTTTTCCTCACATCCTGGGCCAGGCAGGGACTAAGTCAGCTTAGCCTGAGCCAGGCCCTGGCCCGAGTTTCCCACTGGGGTTGGCGGAGGGGTGAGGGGAAGGGACGGAGAATAGCGGAGACCAAAGTCCACAGGGCTGGCCCCTCTCCTCTTGGGTCCTGTCCTTCTGGTCACTGTCCTCCCATGATCTGTTTTCCAGGAGGGTATGTGACCTACCCCCAGTTGCTAAGCAGCACTCTGGCCTCCACACGGGTACACTAGCTCACCCAGGCCAACACCAACTCGCACATCTTCGGGGGAGCGCCCACTCACTCCGGAGACACATGGCCCGGTGTTTGGGCATGCTGGCACACTCTCACAGGAGGACAGCGCAGCCGCTCGGCGCTCACAAAGCGCCAGCATGCCTCCAGAACGTCTCGGCCGCCGCATGCACACATGTAACTGACACGGGCAGAACCACACGCTCGCTGCGTCTCAGACATACAAAGACGCCTACTCAGTCAAGTCACATGCCATCGCACAACCCACCGGAGGGCCACACAGGCACACCTTGTCCCATCTCACATGTCCCCTCTCCCACTGCCTTTCATTCTATTAGCTCCCCTCTTCCACTTGGGCCTCCAGAACTATACTGACAGCCCCCCACCCCACCCCACCCCCCAAAAAAAGACTGGGCTCCCAGCCCCCAAGCCTGGCCGCATTAATTTCCCTAAGCGACACTCCGCAGTTTCCCTGGGGAAATTAGAGGAAGGCTGGAACGGAGACAAGGGCAAAGGGATGAGGCCGGGAAAGGCAGCTGCTGAGAGCAAAGACAGCTTTGACGTATGGTCGGGCGATACCGAGCTTCGGCTTTTTCGAAGGCTGTTCTCGCCACCTTTCTGATTTTTAGGAATTCGACATGAAGGGAGGCGATAAAGAAGGAAAAAAAACAAAAAACAAAAAACTGGAAGTCGGTGGTGAAGGGAGAACGAATGAGGATGGGCAGAAAGGGGGTGCGGGAGAGGCGCAGCGCTCCGGGGATAAGCACAGACAGACGGTCGGGCCGCGAGGGGAGGGGACGTGGAGTAGCCTCCCCGGAGAGTCCTGTTTACACTTGAGGATCCCAAACCGCTTAGCAGAGGAAAGGTGAGGTCATAGCGGAAAGAGACCTGGAGCCGCGGC